TGTGTGTGTTACATGGTCGTGGGTGCGTTCCCCGTACCTGCAAACCGCCCCAATATGAGCCGCGGGCTCAAGGGCTGCCAGATCGCCTATAAGCACCATCCTACCAACGATATGTGTACTAGTACTGCCGCACTATCTACAGTACACACACGCATGCCTGCCTACTGTTCATAGTGATCGATAAAGTATACGATGATCCGGTATAAATTGCCACAAACCAAAAGCTAATGGCAAGTATGTTATTAATGGATTTGTTGTATCACGTGTACGGCTTCAGCTGAAGTTGTACGGCCATAGCTAGAGAGTATGTCGTCAGGACAAGCACCACATCCCCGCGCTCATACAGGCTGGCAAACATTTAAACTAACCTCATCATAACTTTGACGCACTCAGCGGCATATCCGTGCCTAATGATATATCACACTTTCGGGGCTGCGCATTTTAAATGCGGTAAATGCGGCATTTACCAAGCCCACAGCTGGGGAGTAACCTGGACAACTGCCATGTAGCTGCTGGGTCTTGAAAGCTATAGGTCTCCTGTTATATCACGTCTTTTTCAGACAAGAACTAATCGGCGGATGTCAGATCCCGTGATTCCCAGGATTCTACAATTATCCCCCTTCCAGCACTGAGGGCATCCTCGACCGTTTCTCTAACTCAGGGAACCTGTGACATGTCAGCATCCACAGAACAACCAGCGGCAGCAGGCCGAACTGAGACTCGGACCTGGGTCGAGACCTGGTATCCCAGTCTCTGGGATACCAGGTCTCGATACCAATTTGTTGTATCACGTCTTTTTCAGACAAGAACCGATCGGCGATGTCATATCCCGTGATACCCAGGACACTACATCTCCAGACTGCCTTAGGGCAGAAGAATACCGATAGGCGGATGCAGATCCCTTGGTATGCCCAGAATACTACAAAATATTATTGCGTATTAATAACTCTGCTGCCTCGATCACGTGCATCTGCTGCATCGATCTTACGCCATCCTTACCTACAACTAAGCAGGACGGGCTGCTGTGCATCTTCACTCATCCTGGCAGTAGTACATGCAGACCACAAGTCAATACAAGCATACATTTCTGTACACATTACCGCAGGTAATTATTGAGGCGCAATCGCGCGCATATACACGTTTGCGCAAGCGAGGTACACTTGCCCGCCCGTTCATCATGCAAACACTGACACACGTGTCAGCGTTTATAAATTAGGTGTGCACTTCTAACAAACATACTCAACCGCGCATACATGTATGTCGGCTATACATCGTACTGGCGATATGCCTGACGAGGCATGTACACACACTGCTGTATGCAAAAGATAAGCCCTGGATGTTGCTACCCTTTACCCAACGAACGAAAGTGATTAACAGCACCACTACACCGTATGTACCTGCCTACATCACCATATTGCCGATCAACCTGGCGATGTGGCCTCCATGTATCCAAGCACTTTGCCCCTGCCCTTACTCAAGGCCGTGTAGTGGTCATTTATCAGCCTCTTCACTCTCGCTTCTCTTGTTCCATTCCCCTCGCAGCAATCGTCGACCACTTCTGGACTTTATACAGCTGTCACGCTGAGCAGGGCTGGGTTGAGAAGCACACATGCCGCATTCCCAACTGCTAAGGGTTGTGCCGGTGAGGCACTTGAAGCAGGTGGCGCGAGCAGCGTCAGCGTCGGAAAGAGGGGCGGTTACCTGCATACACAGGCACATGTATGGCATTGAAGGGCACTCGCCACGGCTGTGTATCCTGGCCTATAAAACAGCACTACCGTACAATGGCGTTGTTACAAATACAGGAGAATATGTTAGGAATCGGGTGCACTCGATACACGCATGGACGGCCACATTGCTTTCCGTGTGTGCATGTTTGCATGGAGTAGGAGTAGGTGGGTGCGTGGGTATGTTTCCAGTTGTTGGACTGTAGTATAGCAATAGAAATTTGGTGTTGTAAGGACATTTGTTATCTATGCAGCAGGATTCGTACGAATGTAGGACTCAATAATCGCAAAATGCAAGCATGCACCCTCAACACATTAAACATATGTATACGTTCTTAGTTCTGTGTATGTAGCGCCCTCTCCATTTTCCTCGCTCTGGCTCAAACTGGTCTGCCCCACCCATCAAGTTCAACCATACATGCATGCATGCATGACATGTACGCCTCTCAGGCTCTATTTGTGTCTCTCTCGAAAATATTGTTCACAACGACACACGCAACCTACATCCATGCAGTTGTAGCAGCCCCAGGGTTCGAGGGCGGATTTGACACAGGCGATGCAGTCGCGGGACTTAGCGACACTGGTTCCAATCAGGGAAGGATCCTGGCAATACTGTGCACAGCTCCAATCATGACCTGAAAGCGGGTGAGAACGAGGAATTGCATGAAGGCGACGAGGAGCATGAAACAGCTTAGATGCTTGGCTTAGTGAGGGGGCCGGGTTAATGGGAAGCTTCCTTAAGACTAGGATGCAGGCAGGATTGATGGACTACGTACTGCTGGTAGGAGGACGGGATTGCAGGAACCACCTGCAGCTGTAACTAGGTAGAGCCCCTGCTGATGAACAGGTTCTTCCTGTGAACGGCGCGGCATATGTGCATGGAGACCTTCAAGTTGCCAGAGGAGCTGTTTAGGATGCGCACAGGGTCCGCGCGGTTTCACTCTTAAGCAACAGATAGAGTGTAATATCTTCTGCTGCAGAACAGTGTTGTATCCTATAGGCTTTCTGCTAAGCCCGCGGCTTTGTTGCCTAACTGTCGGTTGTAGGTTCGTCCAGCTCGGTTTATGTTAACACTGCTGTAATTAACTAAAACCTGTTTAAATTTGCTGACTATGATTATATGTCTAACTATAATAATAATAACAATAACAATAACAATAATAATAATAATAGTAGTAGTAATAGTAATAATAGTAATAATAGTAATAGTAAACCGGCGGCTTGTAAGAGGGATCAGCTCCCCTGACATCTCCCACCTGAGTACTCTTTGCCTGGTGCTACATTGGTGCGAATTGCTAGGAGGTGGGAACTCTCCGGATCGAATCCGGTTGCGAACATATCGCACACCAGGCATGATGCAGCATACTCTTACCCCAAAGGTGGATGCCCCGGCGGGCGAGAAGTCTACCAGCTGAGTAAAAACAAAGTCCTCCATCTCGGTCGGGGACTGACGAAATGTCACAAACAACAAACTAACAATCCTACGGGATCTCAAAACAACCAAAATCCTACGGGATATGCCCGGGGGCGCCCGAGGACGTTCGCTCGAGGGGAGGAGGAATGTAAGAGGGATCAGCTCCCCTGGCATCTCCCAACTGAGTACTCTTTGCCTGGTGTTACACGGCTTGCAACGACTGTTCGTCGAGTTCGCCATCCAAATGCCGCAGTGCTGCTGAAGTCCATACACCCATATGGGCAGGGGCTTCGTCTGAATAAAGCTGGGGCCTTCATCACTGATTCGCCTGCTCAACCGATCGAGAGTAATTCCTGTTTGAGTTACGGTCATCTGAAGATCGTGTCGCCCAGTCGTACTGGGGAATTCATCGGCGTGAGGCCCAAGTGGATTCTACAACTGCTATTTGTCAAACCGCTTGCCTCAATCGGTGTCTTTCGATACCACCACAAAGTGCGCTAGGTGTTTTTGTCATACTACAAACGGTGGCAGCGGGCGGGACGTGCAAAGGCCAGCAGGAAACCCATAACCTCGCCACCTCTCCGCCATTTTGTATACTTGCCTTGGTTCAGGCTGAGGCATTGTACTAAAAATTATATTTTTTCAATTATGTGATTATAATCATAATCACCATAAACATCATCATTTCAAAATAAAACATCATTAATTTATCCTAATAATAATATTATTATATATTATCATCATCTTCTGCATAATGGTATGGGAGTCTCCCGGCAGAGCAGGCCTGCCTGCCTTACGTAGCACAACCCGCCACGTGGCTAATCCGCGCCTTGATCACGCGCCAAGGGCAATGGCAAGCAGTCGCATCATTAGTCATGCTTAAGCGCACCGTGCATGTACGGCGGTAACAATTTAGGCCGCCTATAGGCCACAACGCCTTATAATAGATAGGGACCGTCCCTATGTAATATACTGCTGATACATATCAATGTTTGGACGCTAAGAAATGCATTTAAACTATCCATCTCGCTCCAGGACTATGACCGGAAACCGTAGTACCTTTGGAAATTGTGGATGGAACACAATCGGTAAAACACATATTCTGGAGGGTCTTGTCAGCGGCTTTATTGCATGAAAAGCAACGCCAGGGGTAGTTAACGTTGCTGCCTTGCGTCTTCCGCACACATGTACGGCAGCCGTCTGGGTCAAGTGTAGTGAACCAGGAGCTGCTGCATGTCTGGCAAGCTTCATTATCTGTAGGGGAACAAGTGACGGCTGTGGGAGCAAGATAGGCATGGGGTCGAAAATCGGGGCGCGATGGCATGAACAGCACCACCGAAAGTCAGTGATGTCTGAAATAATAAAGTGTATGTATGTATGTATGTATGTATGTATGTATGTATGTATGTATGTATGTATGTATGTATGTATGTATGTATGTATGTATGTATGTACACGGTCTAGTTCTTGGTCCTATGTATTAAACGATGACGACCCTGTCTGTGGATAGACCACGAATCATTTTACAGACGAAGGCACGTTATGGGATTGTGACTGCTTGGCTGCGTCCTGTCTGATGACGTGATGGGCTGTAGCTGGGCAATAGTGTGTGGTGGTTACAGGCAGTGCAAAGTACGGCATGAAGCGGTGCTGACAGCAGCCAGAGAGAAATAGGGTGATGACTTGACTACTAATGTCCTTTAAGGCGTATGCACCTGACCCCAAATATGCAGTTCGTCAAGGACGTGTGTGCACAACAATATGGGTGAGTGCAGCGTTAACACTGTACTCATCCAGCAATTTTTAACGATAAAATGTACCGTGGACTGGTCTCTGCCCTCGAAAATAGTGGCTGTTTGTCACTGGTTATGTACATGGTTGAGGTCCCCACGAGAAACCCACTTACTCGCTTCCGCCGGTGGAGGCCAGGTGGAAAACAGCGGTGCCACGGTGGGAGATAAAGGCATGAATGGTGGTGAGGGTGATGGACTGCGTGGTGGGGGAGAACTAGGTGGCTTCAAGCTAGAGGGAGATGGCCTAGGAGGCGGCGGCTTAGGTGGTGGCGGCCTAGGTGGTGGTGGGCCTGGCGGTGGGCTACGGGGTGGCGGCCTTGGTGGTGGTGGACGCGGAGGTGGCGAGCAAGGAGATGACAGTTTTGGCGAGGGTGGGGATGGGCTACGCGGTGGTGGCCTCAGTGTAGGCGGACTAGGCGGTGGTTTCATGGGTGGCCTGGTTGAGGGTGGTGGTGGCACGGGGGGCTGGGGTGAGGGAGGTGGTGGTGGCACAGGTGGCTGGGGGGAAGGAGGTGGTGGTGGCACAGGTGGCTGGGGGGAAGGAGGTGGTGGTGGCACAGGTGGCTGGGGGGAAGGAGGTGGTGGTGGTGGTGGTGGTGGCACAGGTGGCTGGGGTGAGGGAGGTGGTGGTAACACGGGGGGCTGGGGTGAGGGAGGTGGTGGTGGCATGAGGAGCTGGATTGAAGGAGTAGGTGGCGTCCTGGGGGGTGGCCTTGGGGAGGGAGGCGGTCGCACAGTGGGGGGTCGGGTTGAAGGAGGTGGCGACGGCACAGGGGGCCGGAATGGGGGTGGTGACGGGCTGGGGGGACGCGGTGAAGGGGTAGGCGGCGGTGGCTGGACTTCCAGGGTGCTTAGGGAAGGGCACTCCGAGGGTGAGGCCAAGAAGCGGCAGAGGTGCACCCTCAGGGTGTCCGTACCGACCCAGGAGCCCCCATACACGACCAACTGATAGGCGCCCATTGCCAACTGCGACATGGGATCGACGGTGTTGATGAACTGGATTTTGCGGTCGCTGTTTGTGAAGGTCGTGGGGTAGCCATTGTCCTGCAGGAATGTATGTCGATGGTACAGTTAAGGATACAATCCAAGCACGCTTATTGAACGCCTAAACAGTAATAAAGCAATAGCAGATCTGTTAACCCCTGGAACCATGCTCTCTTAAGGGAGTTATGTACATTACGGAGGCATGAAGCCCTCACCATGGTTGCATTTACTTCGTGGATGTTGACCTTGGATGCATATATGGTGTTGCTTAGGCCAGCATCGACATTCTTGGCAACACGGACGGCGATGTAAAGGTTTCGACCCGTTAATGTATTGTTGTAGACAGGTAGCCAATCGGGAGTCACCCGCACGTAGTTGTTGTTGCCAGTCAGGTAGGTGGCAGGCAGTGTAAAGGTCCGAGCTGTGCCTGGCAGCAAGGCACTGCTGTTCAGCTGGTCACCTCCGACCGCAGGTGTGGCCCAGCCCATGCGGGAGATCTCCGCAGCGTTGGGGCAAGCGTCACCACGGCCCATAGTTGTGGAGTAGTCGCCATACTCTGTGCCGTTTTGCCAAGAGTGCCATAGCCCTGCGCACGTGCATGGATGCATCATGCATTTCATAGGCAGGGCACCATTGCATGTCAGAGTGTTCATCATGATTGGAGATAGAGCAGCATATTTTGACCTTGGTTTGGGATTATTACCAATGAATAATTCAGTCCAAGGGCCCCCCGGCGTAATTCGTCAACACATTTTTGGAGGAAGCTCTGAGCAGGCAAGAGAAGGCAACATTAGGCGATGACGATTCCCCTAGATCTACGGGGACATCTTCTGTCTAGACAGAAGATGTTGCCTATGGCCAGCTATATACATGCGAGCTTGTGCCAAATGTTCGCACACAACCATTGGCCAGGGTAACAATAACTTAGGTTTCCCGGTTTCCCAGTGCCGTGCAATGCACGGTCCGTTGTGGCCTGATGGCCCTACCCTGGGGTATTCCCTTGGGGTCAGGGGGTCTTGCTGTATGTAATACCTACACACAACAACAGGCAAGCAAGTTGCATTGAGGGTGTGCTTCCCTCGCCAAGCTTAAGTATTGTTACCTGCTACAAATCTAGTCAGGAAAAATACCTAAAATCCGAGGTAAATCAATGTACTTCTGCTCTTCAATTACTTTTATCACACACATGTACCCATGTCATGGTTATAGAGAATAAGCATGCACCCCGTGCTTACATACCATAGTTGTGTATGGCCTCCTGCATTACTGTTGCCCATCTGTACACTCCATTGGCTGATGTCTGCAGGAAGGTCTGTCGGCCCGGCAATACTGCCAGCCCTGACCAGGGGCACACTGGTTGAAGGCCCGGTGGCACTATGTAGGTGTAGTGGCTGAAGGATGAGAAGGCTACAGTGCCGATGAGGGCCTTGGTGGCAGTGTCTGCCAGAGCCGAGATTGCCCAGGCGGCACATGTAGTCGTGATAGGTGTCGAACATTGATGCCTCACACGTACCACCCGAAAGGCGGTTATGTTGAGCCCGAACCTTCCATAGGAGCACTGTGTGTACTTGTCGGCAAGGCCCCCATTGCCATCCCCATTCGGGCCCAGGTAGAGGGTCCGGATTTCGGTCTCATTTATCGTTGCTGGCAGGCCACAGTCAGTGTAATCGATGATCATGACTAGCAGGCTCTGGAATATGGCTGTCCCGAGGGTTGAGGGGGGCCCCGGTGCAACGGAGATGATGGTAAGGATTGTCGAGTTATCGGGCGTGCAGTCGCCAGTGCTCACTTTGTAGAGGCAGTCCTGTGGATGTACATGCACCAGGCCACCAGCAGCAGGTAGAAGTAAGGAAGCAGAGGGTAACAGTGTATGAAAGAGAGGGCTTTGTGTGTTTGCTTGGGTGATGCCTTAGCTAGTGGCCGCCGCTGGCAGATGCTTCCAACGATGCCTCGATTTCCAAATCCACCGAAGCACCTTTGACAGGCAATGGTAAATTGAAGTATGCTAACCGACATCGTAATCATGATTGAGCTGGTAAACGCTTTGGTAATTGCATATCCTTAGGTACCAGCCACCCTTTGTGACCATGCATGTAACACCAGGCAAAGAGTACTCAGGGAGATGCCAGGGGAGCTGATCCCTTCTTACATTCCTCCCCCCCTCGAGCAAACGTCCTCAGGCGCCCCCGGGCATATCCCGTAGGACTTTTGGCTGCTTGAGATCCCGTAGGATTGTGAGTTGATTTATTATTGTGACATTTTGTCAGTCCCCATCCGAGATGGAGGTCTTGTTTTACTCAGCTGGTAGACTTCTCACCCACCCAGGCATCCACATTTGGGGTAAGAGTTTGCAGCATCTAGCCTGGTGTGCGATTTGTTCGCTACCAGATTCAATCCAGGGAATTCCCACCTCCTAGCAGTTCGCAGCAATGTAACACCAGGCAAGAGTACTCAGGGAGATGCCAGGGAAGCTGATCCCTTCTTACAATGTGTATCCACCGATGGTTACTCTTCTAAAGTCGTGGTATAACATCCTGCCGCTAGGCTACAGAGCTCAAGTTCACATAGACTCACCAACTGTACGGCGGATCCAGGAGTTACAGGTGTGCCTCCCGAGTCCGTTTTGGGTGGTTTGTAGCCGCCCATGAGCGGTATCAGCACACCGTAGCTGTCGCGAATCAACCACTGATCCACATTGTCCAACGTGATGTAAACCAGCTCTCCCGCAATCTGCGTCCTTACATAATTGTCGGCGGGTCCATTTGGTGCTAGCACACCAAAGCCATGGACAACTGCGTGTGACACCCCGAGCGGTATAAAGGTTAGCGGGCAGACTGCTGATAAGTCGGTAGCTGGGAAGGTATGCATGCGATCATATCTGCATGATAGAACAATTAATAGGTAAGATTTGAGGTGGCGCTGTTATGGTATGCGCAGATCATGCACGTAGCTAGTCGTAATTTGTTACTATGTCGTCGCCGTCCTGTGTCGACATGTTATCGCAATGCGCGCCGTTCAGTCAGCAGCAAAACAACACGTTAAGTTTCGTGTTGCGGTCAGAATCATCCCAGAGCATTCTATAGTTGGTTTTGAGCCTACTCTATTGATGATACATATGCCAGCAGGTATCCGTCCTCCTTACCTTCGGCGACAATAAAGCACAGTATACACGACGTCAACAGAATCCTTGCCATTCTGGCTATAAGCTTAAAGAGCCTAAAAGCAATGTTCAAATAGTGCTTTGCGTTGTATTACCTGTTCATAACAGAAAGCGTATGCATCGGTGCTACGTCCCTGCTGCGACTGATGAGGCATGTACTGCTGGAACTTCTATAACGTGATTGAAACCGCAAAAGCTCCTCAAATGGCCTTCCTTTATTTGACGTTCATGTACGGAGGCTTGTTTGGTACGGACGGCGGGATGCTTTCCACGTTATTTTGCTTCTACTGCCTCCTTTCTTTCGCGATCAACAGCAAGTTAATTCAGTGCATTTAGTATCTATGTTAGTAAATCTTTAAGTTAATTACTGAGTTTTGCTACATCATATGCAGGAGTAAGTAGCAGCAGTGGAACGTACTGGCCTGCTGGTCGTTTTCCTGCGGCCTACCTCGCGGCTTGCTTATCCGCAGGAGGATCGATTAGTTTCGAAGGTACGCATGCATGTGCTTAAATGACTAACTGCTTATGCATCTCATAATTTCGTCCCTACATTTTCCTTGACTGGTAGTTATGGAATACGCCTTTAAATGGCGATGTTTGATTGACTCCATGCATGCATGTCCGCCTGCTGCTGGCTAGGACCTGCTGCTATGGGCGAAGGGACGAAAAGACGGCGCGCACGTACGTTTTCCTCTGCAACTGACAAAACTTAGCTAGACACAACCAAAATATTTGTGTCTTCTTGATAAATTGGTCTATTTTGGAGCCTTTTCTGTTAAGAAAAGGCTGCAAAGGTTGATTAGCGTACTGCTAGATAGCGATTATTAGTCTGCTGGGCGAGCCACCCACAAATGGACAACTGGGCGACTGGTTTCCAGGACACCAGGCCTGGATCCCCTTAAGGATGGCTGGTTCGGGACTAGATCGGCTGGCATTCTGTGTTGCATAACTGGCATTCCATGCTAAATAATTTCAACTTTGTAGCCAGCGTTTGTCTTATGAAGCCGTTTCGGGGTCGCTTTGTCCGTGTCCTCAGATGACCTTCACAGCCCTTTCATCACAACTCCCATGCCGGAGAGACCCACGTTCACCACACGATATGCATTTCTCTTTGAGTAATGACAGCTACAACAGGATGCTCCAGGTGGCGCATACTACGTGTGATGTATGTGCCGTTCGAGTTTGATGTTCGACTTATTATACGCCGACCACGCCGCATGCTACAAGGACGCATCAAGCACCTGTTGGAATTAAATTATAGCACTAGAGCCGTTGGTCTTGACGGCGACCTCGTTTCCATTTCCATGGTAAAGGTTTTGACTATGCTAATACGCAAACTTTGTTGGCCAAAATAGATGCATTAAAGTATCCATAAGCAGCCTAGAACGCCTGAAAGTCTCAAAGGGCAGCGCCCGGGCTTGGCCTGGAATGCCTGGAGGACTGGAAGGGTGATGCCCGGGGTTCGCCTGGAACGCCAGGAGGGGCCCTGGATGGCTTGAGGGTTGGAAGGGTGTTGGGGCCCTGGATGGCTTGAGGGTTGGAAGGGTGTTGGGGCCCTGGATGGCTTGAGGGTTGGAAGGGTGTTGGGGGCCTTGAAGGGTGGAAGGGGCAGTACGGCTGGAACGACTGCTGCCGGTTGGAAAACTTGGAAAACATACTACCGGCAATGTTCCAGTCCTTCCAATTATTCCATATACTGGATATCTTGAGGCGATGTTCCATCCAGTTTTCCAACCCTCGAGCCAGCAGCAGAGGGAAGATGTCCCATCAGCAGGTCACTAAGGGGGTGTTTCCACTTGGATTTAAAGTCGCGGATCAGGGTGCTTATTGCATATGGAAGCATCTTGTGGATTTGCACGGATTAGGGAGATTTAGGATGTATTTCCAGTGCGGATTAACGTCGTGGAGTTGGAAATGACCGACACTCATATACCAGTGAATGGTTACCACAGTAATAGGACCCGGCGGGGGTCCGGCGCTTTGCTGGTCTTAACAGGAGTAACCCTCTGTCCTCCATCGATACTTGCTCAAACGGCTAAGTTGTTGGCAAACTTACCTCGACTTTCCAACCTTTGGTTCCCCTATGGAACGAAACTATGTGGTAAGCTCATACCAAGGATTTCCGTGCCCTAATCCCTGGCCTTAATCCGCACTGGAAATACACCCTTAATAACGAGCGATGGCGAGATTATTGTTAGTGACCGTTGTACGCCCATATACGAGGTTTACGCAGATTAAGTTTTTGATTACTATGCTATAAAATATGCGTGTTCTTGCCATATGACGGAATGCCACATACCGGGTGAAAAATATTTGCTACTTAGACGGCGGCGGGACCGAGTACCCATGGGTAATAATCCGAGATTTAAAATCTGGCTCGTACTCCTGGCCAGGAGATTTTGAATCTCGGATTATTACCACGTTTAATGATACCTCTAGAGAAATGACGGAGATTGCTAGCTTGATGAAAGACTTTCCTTTCCATAGCCCAGAGATGCTTACAGCAGTTTTTATTGCATATAGCACTGATTGGGTCGGTAACCCCTATCCCATGGGTTACAACAAAGGGGGGCTACCCTTCGTTTTATGCCTGGAAGTTTTGAAGCTTCGTGGCCAGACAGCATCGTCATGTGTTAAGCTGCTGCGGCCGCGGGTGTACTTCAGAGGGGTGGAGCAACTCGCTCGAGCGGAGCTCCGTACGGAGCTCCGTATAGCGGGCTATTTCATTGGTACGACATCGGAAGCACGAACATGAAATGGCAACTCGGACGCGAGTTCAACTTCTGCCGCGTAACCTTCATCAGTCATTAGTTATATATCATAAACAAGTTTGAGTCGATTTTTAACTTCCCAGCTTTTCGACTGACATAATCCTTACGCCAGCCGGGGTTCCGCGGGAGGAAGATTGCAGTGGTGCCATTTCCCCATCACGGAAGGTAGCCATATCACTGCTGTCACACAAGGTAGACCTGGTAGACACGTCTGTAAAATGTTTGATATCTATAGACCATCTTTTTACAGCGGGCCTATCTATTAGACGATGGCACGGTCTATAGACCATCTTTATACAATGTATCTATGTACGATCTATATCTTGGTCGTATCTATTAGACGATGACCCTGTCTGTAGACGATCGAAGATTTCACCGGCACACACTACTGCTGAAGGAAGGTAGCCACGTGACTGCTGCTGAAGGAATGAAGGTAGCCATATATGTATATACTGCAGTACTGCAGTACTAGTACTACAGTGTGGCAGCAGCTGCTGCCCGAAGCACCACTACTGAAAACGACTCCATCTTCAAATAAACCAACCACACAACAAGCAACATGTAAAGGCGAGAAGACGAATTGAACATCATTTTCTGCACCATGGAGTGCACTCCCACGCCGACAGTCTGTTAACGTTATTAGCCATGCTTTCCCTGCACTTCCCAACCCAAAACGATAACACTTGGACATTGCATGTCTTTGTTGTTGTTGTTATTACAGCGGAATACCAAACGTCTATGCCTGGGAGCAAGGAAGCCGACCCAAAGGGCGCATTGCCTGATGCAGCGGCTGCATGATAACAATAATACGGGGCCAACAACCATAGCAAGACGAACCCGTATTTGCAAAAGTGTCAGCGAGGATCCTCGACTGGTCTACATCAGCTCTATGTACAGGGACACAAACTCATATCTAAGGACAAGCTCTCAATTTAAACGCCTTACCACCACATCTATCTACTCTTAAGATTAGATAGATGAGAGTAGATAGCAGCAAGCTAGCTGCTGTGCATAGTATACTATGTCCACATAGTATGTGGACGCGAAAGGGGTGAGCGTGCATGCTGGAGGATCCTGTGATGACTCATTAATCGCACACACATTACCTGCTGGCACACATTATACATATTGTCCACACATTATACGTATAGTGTCCAGGGTATGTGTGTGTGTAAGTATACATGTGCTGTTATCAAGTAGCTGCTAGCAAGTAGTTGCTTGCAAATGCGCAGTGCAGTGTACGTGACACATTACATACCAAGCCCAGGTGGGCCATATGCATACGCATAGTCATCGCAACGACCTGCAGCTACCGCGATTACACTGCAAGCACGCAACCAAGGATATACACATTCGCGCGCATGTCGTCACCACCGATCACGAAAGCTATTAAGCAAACAAGATCACGAGTGCCCGGCTATGTACTTTGATAACTCTTCGTTGATTATTTGACTAAGCTATGCAGTCAGCACCGCAAACTGAGTATATCGCAATGCAAAATAAAGTGGCTGATGGCTGCAGCAGCAGCGGTCTGCAGCTAAGGCATAGCGGATAATTAAGTGAGAATTAAGGGAATCCTTACTCTTTCTACGTATGTACATGTTATATCTGTATGTCCCAGATGACGTCTGTGAAGGTTCTGTGAGCGACAGGCACACAAGCAGGTACACGTAGTAGACACATCATGATGCGCTATTAGCATCCCAGACAAACATAGCCAGATATGCAATATGGCTGATTGCCGGATGGGGACGGGACTTGCATAGCACAAGTCTGTTTGGGCACATGATGTTACTGGAAAGCAAGCAAGCATATCTATTTACGCATGCATGCACCCTTATCTGCCCTAAGCATGGGACGCATGAACCTACACGCGCAATCTGTCACAGATGGACCTCGGTTGCAACAACTGGTTGATGGTTTTGATAAGATGACGT